CCGCTCTCGAAATCACTCAAATACTTCCTTTTATACACAGTTTATGCGGTCATTTGGATTGCATCATATAACGGATCTATTTTTCTTTTTCTCTAATCAATCTCTATATCGATTGTTTTTTTACTCCACTTTTATTGTTTTTCATCATTTATATTGTTATTCTAGTCTTTGTCATTCTTCCTTTTTACATAGGTACTTTTGTTCGGTATATCTACCTCTTGGTTGTTGGTGTATGAGGAATTTGGAAAGCACCTACTTTTATATGATCTACAACCTTGATTCTTCTCTGGTTTGATTGTATTATTTTACAACTTTTGGTTATATATTCATTAAACTTGATTGAGATATTATGTGAGTGTTCATGTGAGAAGACGGTGACTTTCCCCTAGTTGATTTATATGTTATTACATATTTTTTGAATCTTCTGTGATCATGGCGTGTCAGGTATAAAATCCACCCCAACCCTTCCGTACTCCAGTTTATTTGATAATAAATATGATTTGGAATGTAGGCATTCTTTACTTCTCATGTTGAATTGTGTATTAGTTTGGTTTGATGTTGTTAACAAAAAGCGAACAAGCTTCTGTAATGGGTTTGTGAAATTTTTTATCACACTCATTTGCAAAAATTCTATAGCTGCTTACCCACTTAATTTAAAATAAATTTTTTTCTTATTTTATTGATTTGGTTATATATTTTCCAAAATATTTATATTTTATGTCACCATCAACTAATATAATATTCTCTTCAATATTTTTTATTTTGGTATATCCCACATACTTTGCAATATTTTTAAAATAAAAAATAATTAATTACATTTTATCACATTGTATCATTCAAATAAAAAAATAAATTTATATTTTTCTTTCTCATCACAATAACTAATTCTCAATTTATTTTACTTAATATTCTATGCTTAAATTTTCGTATCGAAAAGAAAGTATTTTACTATTCATGGGACATAAAGAATATTATAATCTCATTAAACCTACGTCTAACCGAAATAAGCATATATTTGGTAAACAAAAAAGTATATATTATCGAATTCAGGGCCAGCCTTGGGCCCCGACGGAATGGACACCACCGCCCAGGGCTCAATCTAAATAGGAGTCTATTATTTATTTATGTTATATACACAATTTTTTATATATAACAATTATTTGAAGAGGAATATAGTTTGATGGTTAAATACTATATACAACATTTTGTATTAAAAAAATATATCATTTATACATACTCAAGGAGCCCTAATTTTTGTTTTAAAATTATTTATACAAAATTAATATAATACCATTATTGATATTTTATCGAAAAAATACTAGAAAAAATTATTTTATTTAATTATTTATATTCTATTATAGGTAAAATAATAGAGTATATTATTTGGGCATGGATCCGGTGCTTATCTGGTCACATCAACACAATGCTGATTTAACCGGATCAATATGTGTTATGAAAGTGAACAACATTGATTTCTATATAGGGTGTGTTTGTTTGGGGGTTTGGATTTTGAGTTGGGATTTGAATAGTAAAAATTTTGAATTTGAATAGTTGTATGATGTGATATAAATAGGTGTTGATGTGATGTTTTGAATGTAAAATTGATTTTTAGTATAATATAAAAAATGAAAAATAGATGTTTGATTTGATGTTTTTGGGGGGAAAAAATTGGATGAATAGTAGAAATCTTATTAAATCCCCCAAACAAACACACCCATAATCAATATGCTGCATTATAAATACGCTGCAATATGTATTAGAAAATGTTGTTTACCTTCACGACACATGTTGGTCTGGTCAAATCAGCATGAGATCCGTGCCCATATCATTTATATATAGAGGTCTTTTATTATTTTTTTCATTATTTATTTATTTTTTTGCGTTAAAAAGAAAATAAGTATTAGACAAAATTATTATTATTATTGATGTGTTTTTGCATCAAAAAATACTAAAAACAATGTTTCTTATTATTTATATTTTACTATAGGCAAAAAAAAAAAACTTCATCCGTTCCAATTCAAATTACTCTTTTTACCATTTTCATCTCTCTCATTTCAAAGTATCTATTTTCTATTTTAGAAAATGTAATCATACACTAATATCAAAATACCATTAACTTTTAGTTAAATCACAAACATACCTATTAGATATACAATTACTTTATACAAAAAGTCAAAGGACAAAAATGTCAAAATCTTTTTAAACACTTTCACTAACTAATAAAATACTACTTCCTCCATCTCAAACAAGGTGCAACATTTGTTTTGACACGAGTTTTTAGGTGAATAATATTAAATAAATAATTTAGAGATCAGGTGATGTGATGGAGAGATAAATATATATTTTTTATTTTGGTGATGTGATGAGAAAAAATGTGGGGTAAAGATTAAGTATAATTAATTATTTCATATTTAGAAATATTGTAGGGTATTTGGGACGGATGAATTATTATTTTTTAATTTACTACAAAACTTCAAATGACCCTTTCAAAAGAAACAAAGGGAGTATTATATATATATATATATTTAAGAGCCTTGATTTTTATTTTGCCCCGAACTCTTTTAAAGTCGGAATCGACTATGATCGAATTCAAACTTGTTTGGTACATATATGAAAAGAATAATAAATGTATTTATTCAATAACTAATAAATACTTAAATATCTTAATTTTAACTTTATTCATATCTTATTAAAAACGATGTGGAATCACAATTATAAAAATATAAAAAATACATATTACTATAAAATGGATGAAAAAGAAAAAGTACATATAATTGAAACGAATATAACATTTGAATATATTTATCAATTATGACTTTACACTTATCATTTTAATAATATCCATATTTACTATTATTTTTAGTGATAATAACTATTTAACAATTATGCAAATTATTTTTTAAAATATATATTAGCATATTAATGTAAAATACCGATAAAATTAACTATATCAATTATCTTTTTTAAAATTTTTTTTAGTAACAACAATAACATTTACGATGTGTTCATTTTATATATATATATATATATATATTCAATAAGATATACTCTTGGCTTCCGGCTCTAAGAGGGGTCTGATTTACTTTTTGCGCTATTATACTAAGGGTATGTTTGTTTGGAGGTTTGAATTTTGAATTAGGATTTGAACAGTAAAAATTTTGAATTTGAATAGTTGTATGATGTGATATAAATAGGTGTTAATGTGATGTTTTGAATGTAAAATTGATTTTTAGTATAATATAAAAAATGAAAAATACGTGTTTGATTTGATATTTTTTTGGGGGGGAAAATGAGATGAATAGTAGAAATTAAATCCAATCCCCCAAACAAACACACCCTTAATATTAAAAATACATTTATATTTGTATAATGGTTTTGTACAAATATCATTATAATAATATTATAAAACACTAATATAAGTATTTTTGTTTTTTTTTTTTTAATTTGTATTACGTTTTCATGTAATAATTAATGTTAAAAAATCAACTTGCAAAAAGTAAATGAAACCCTAGAGCCGAACATAAATAGTATAATATTGTATAAAAATAAAAAATAAAAAAAAGGATCATGTGCTGATATAAAAATTAATTTAAGCATTTACTGAATCAATCATAACCATTTATTAATTAAAGATAATTAAGTAATTATGATGTTTTTTCTAATCAAGGGTAGAGATCAACTTTCAGATCAGCATACAATCCGTGCTGTAAAAGATATACCTATCATTACTGTTTTACAAATAATAATGTACAAATAAAATAACAGAAAATTAATTCATCATCCACCCCGTGCACTGCACCGTTGTACACTAGTAAATATATATTTTCAGAATGAACTAAGGGTGCGTTTGTTTGGAGTTTTAGATTTTGAGTTGTAATTTGAATAGTAAAAAATATTTGAATTGAAATAGTGGTATAGTGTGATATAAATAAATATTGATGTAATATAAACAAATATTGATGTGATAATGTAAAATAAATTTTTAATATAATATATAAAATAAAAAAATAAGTTTTGATTTGATATTTTTAAGAGAAAAATTTGTATAAATAGTATAAATTCTTCCAAATCTTTCAAACAAACACACCCTAAATAAATATTATTTTAATTTTAAAAATTATAAATAATTATTTACTCTTTTTTATAAATATAAATTTAATTATTATAATTTTGCCCTAGTTAAACCCCCCATTCACGTGTGACAGCCGCCGTACAGCCGTTTCATCCATCCTCTTTCTTTTTACTTCCCCCTTCTTCTTCGCCTTGCTGCTCAGCCGCCGTGACTGTGTCCTCGGCGCCATTTTCTAAACCGCAAACAGCGGCGAACCGGCGGTTTACGGTTTGAACCGGAACCGCCTGTTTGAAACCAGCGGCGGTTCGAACTTCAAACAACCTATCCGAAATCGATTGGGCTAAATGCGTGTATTATCTACTATATACTATCCCACATCGGGGAGTTACAAAATAGGAGCAGCAAAACATGTATATAGTCAGGCGGAAGGGAACAGGGGAACATACTTACCTGGACGGGGTCAATGGGCGATCAATAAGGTCCATGGCCTGGGTTGGTGACCTCCATTGCACGTGGGAGGGGCATTCGCCTAAGGTCGGCTCAAAGCGGTCGAGCCTACGTCGTAATTTGTGGCAGTGGGGGCCTGCGTTCGCGCGGCCCCCTACCAATTATAGTTTTGCAACTTACTGTGTACATTTTGTTTAATGTTTCTTATAATATTTAGCTTCTACTTGTGGGGAAGAAGACTGAAGATATGCGTAAATTCAGTATCGTGGCTTAGTTGAGTTTGGAAGCGTTTGTTAATTGTTATTTGTATCCCACATCGGAATGGAGGCTTCTGGTAATTGTTATTTGTTTTATTTGTATCCCACGTCGGAATGGAGGCTTCTGGTAATTGTTATTTGTTTCCCACATCGGAATGGCAGTGCAGAGAGTATTGTCCTCTTTTGTATATCTAGTTGCAGAGGGTGAGTTATGTGATTCATGAAGCTGCACAGTAAGCACATAGCGAATTATTCTTTCGCCTTTTACTAAAGAATACCGTGTGCTTGCTGTATTAAGCAGCATGCACTAATTTTTTGGAGAGGTTCTTCCATTTTCCGGAGAACCTCTACAATTTAAGTTTAATTGTTTCTTTATTTTAATTTTCGTATGTTTATGGTAGGCGTGCTTGGGCATTTTACGCTCGTTTGATTTTTTGTTTTTATCTAAATGGAGTATTATATGTGGTTTCAATTTGATGTATTTATTCTTTCTTTTCTTGTTTGATTTTTTTCAAAAGTACATATTTATCATTCCAGCTTGACAAATTAAAATAAATAGAATCCCCAAGAAGGCATCTAGGGATCTCTTATGTATGCGTTGTTTCTCAAATTATAAGTAAAGTAAGTGATACATTTATGACAGAGATAATTCATCACAAAAAAAAGAGTAAAGCTTTTGGGGGAAACTATATTGTAGGGCAGATTGTAGTGTGGAGAAATAAAATTAGGGTTGTTCTCAAATAGGTTTCCTCTCTTTCAAGAAGAAGAAGCCTAAACTTTTCTATAACAAGAGTCCTTTAAGTACTTTGGGTCAATATTTTTGTAATAAATTTTCTTACTCCTTTCAATTTACAGCCAACTTTGCTATGGATGTTCTCAAATGGGACTCACTCACTATGCATAAAAAATGAAATAGCCTATTTATGAATCAAACAGAAGTGTGGGAAAAATATTGATAAAAACATTCATGTCACAATGCATCAAGTAGCCGAAGACGTGTTTTTTTGGTTTCTAAATTTTTAAATTTTACAATTTAAACTCCATATTTATATAAAAAAAAAACATTTTTTTTTTTACTTATAAAATATTTTACTATAAACTATTTTAATAGCAAATTTAAATAAAAAATTTTCAAACTAAATCAAAACGAAACAAACAATTATTCTCTTATCATATATATATATATATATATAAAGAGCTCAAGCCGAGGACCCTTTTTTTTTTTTTTTTTTTTTTTTTTTTTTGTAAAATTGTGTAATCCTGCAATCTCAGAATTTTGATATTTTTTTAATTACAGTTTTTTAATTTTTATTCTTAGATTTAGAGTTTATTATTATTTTTAATTATCAAAATAAATGATAGAGGGTGTGAATGACAGTTTTGAAATAGTGGGATGGTGGTTTCAATGTCAGTGGAGGAAAACTGATTGTTGCTTTATTATTGATGGAAGGGTAATGCGAACAAAGGGTGAGAATAAGAATATTGAAATTTATTATTGATGCACTTACAATAAATGGTTGCTTTTTTGATAATATTTTTTTTTATATATAACATTGAATTGTTTTGCTATTTTTCTTTATTAATAATATTATATATATATTTATAATTTTTAGATTTTTTTGTTCTTTCTAAATTGTTTATTTTATTGTGGCGCAGCCATAAAATTAGAATTTTAAATACTTTTTTGATAATTTTTTTATTGATAATATTGAGTTGTTTTGCTATTCTTCTTTATTAATAATATTTATATATATATATATTTTTATAATTTATAATTTTTTTTTGTTTTTTCTAAATTGTTTATTTTGTTGTGTTTTTTCTGCGCAGCCATAAAGTTGGAATCCCAAATACTTTTTTGATAAAAATTTTTTTATTGATAATATTGAGTTGATTTGCTATTCTTCTTTATTGATAATATTTTTATATATATATATTTTTATAATTTTTAGATTTTTTTGATTTTTTTCTAAATTATTTATTTTTTTGTATTTTTTCTCCGCAGCCATAAAATTGGAATTTCAAATACTTTTTTGATAAAATTTTTTTATTGATAATATTTTTTTTATTGATAATATTATATATATATATTTATAATTTTTAGATTGTTTTTTGCTTTTTTTCTAAATTGTTTATATCGGAAGTTGTTTGCTGGAGGTTTGGTCGCTCTATTGTTGATTTATTTATATTGCCTAATATTTTCTTTCAAGATGTTATATTTATTGCAGTTGGAGAAGATATCCATCAATTTCAACTGAATAATTTTTAGATTTTTATTTCTTACTTTCTAAATTGTTTGGGTTTGTTGATTTATTTCAATTGCTTAATTTTTTTTATTTTTTTATTTTTTCACGAGGTTATATTTACTGCAGTCAGACAATATTTATTTTGGACGTTGAAATTGAAAATTTGAATTTATTTGTGGTTATTCTTTTTTATTTTGTATTTAATTTCTTCTTATAGTGATTTGCTTTCAGATGTAACTTTTCTTTCCGGAAAAGCTTGTACTCGAGCAGTCGTGGCTGACGTGGGTGTCTACTGATGCCGGCTCTATTTGGTGCGTGCGTTTGGCTGAGAATTAGTGGATGATGGTAGATGATGCTGATAATGTTTTTAGTTCGAGCTTGCAGAGGATCCGACGACAGCTTCTCAAATCAGAAGATGTGTTAAAATTGTTGTTACGAGTGTAGTGAAGATTTTGTTTGTTTTTCCTTTGTTTTTTAAGTAGTAGAATGAGAAATTTGTTTTGTAGAGTATTGCTGGATTATATATTTTTATTTCTTAATTTATTGTATAATATTTAGTGGAAAGATGACAATCGGGTAGATTCTGAATATATTTTTTATTAATTAATTTTTAATATATTTGTATTTAAAAATGATAAAATAAATTTAAAATAAATGCATAGTACTATTCAAAGGTAAATGCATATATTTTACTAATTTTTAAAATAATTATGTAAACACATATATATGTTTTAAAAAAAATTTTAAATTTATTCTAGAATTACAACGTATATATTGATTAATAGTTTTTATTTGTAATTACGATTATAAAGAAGATATCAAAAAATTATATTAAATTTTTAAAATATAATTTATTTTGCATTCAAAATTATTTTAAATAATACTATTATATTATAATCTTATATTCAATTAAGAAATAAAAGTAAAATGCTATAAAATTAAATATTTACCGAGATAGTATAATTCATTGATATTATTTTATTTTTTTATATTGATTAAAAATATATATATAATATATAAAGAAATTACTATTAAACAAAAAAAATATGATTATAATTTTTTTTGTCGTAGCACGGGTATTCCGCTAGTAATACAAAAACTGCGAACATATGTATATTATACTACCGTCTCCGTCTGGTTCTAAAGGTTTCATTTATATTTTTTGTGTTTATCTTTGAATATTAATTATTATATTACAATATAGTACAAATTGAGAAAAGAATTGTAAAAATACTTCAATTAATGTCTTATAATACTAATAGAAATAGAAAAACATTTGTAAAAAAAATTATACAAATATAAAAATATTTTTAATGTTAATATAATAACGCAAAAAATAAATGTAACTTTAAAAGAAAGAGTACAATATATAGTGATTTTTTTTTAATTTTTTATTAAGACTCATCATTTTTAGCTTATTTAAAATCTACATAAAATAATTGATAACAAAATTAAAAGTATTTGTGTTCAATTTATGTTTTAAACACCAATCAATATTATTTAGTTAGTATAATTTTCAATAAAAAAAATATATTATTCTTTTTCTAAAAATAATAACAAATCGAGATTCTATTTAAATCAAAATTTAAACAAAAAAAAAAAATCTAATTTTAAATCAAAACTAGAAACATCTAATTATTTTATTATAATACAAAAATGGCGTAAGTATGTATATTATTATTATTTACATGGTCCATCTCAGAACTTTTTATTTTTTTAAAAAAAGGGTTACGGATTTGTTTATTTTGACGTCAAATTCAATTTCTACTCTGGATGCTTTGCGTTTTTATTTTTTTTAAAATATAATTTTTTTCTCACAAACTATTAATTACATGCATTTTAATATCAATTTCAAATCAATTCTTTTCGAAACTTATCAAAATAAACATTTAAAAAATACATTATTGTTAGTATTATTATTAATTATATGGGGTCCACATAAACATTTTTTAAAAAATCAAATTTCTTATTATCATAATTTACGGGGCCCATATAAAAAATCTTCATATATATATATTTGAAGTCATTTCCGCAGCAATGTTAAAGTAATAATTTTTAGAAATTTTGAATTTTTTTTTAGAAAAAATTGATTGATTGCCGTATTTGATTGATTATTATATTTAATTTGTAAGACTTTTGATTTTTTATAATTAAATATTTATATCCATGGATGAATTACAACAAATATATACACAAAATATTAATTATAAAGAAAAAATAAATTATTTTTAAAATTATAAATATATTCATTTATCTTATATTTATAACTCCTAAGCCATCTTTAATTAGCAATTTTTTATTTATACGCGCTGAAACTGTAAATGAATTTCAAAATATTTATTTTTAAATTTCTAAAATTATAAATATATTCATTTATCTTATATTTAGCTTAAAAAACAGTAAAAAAACACTTTGAAATTAGATAAAAATAACTATTTTTGATTATATTCATTGTTTTTTTAGGTTAAATAATAAGAATAATGACTATATTTGTAATTTAAGGGTTTAGAAATGAAGATTTTGAAATTTATTCGCATTTTGGGCGCGTGCAAATCAAACAACGTTAAATAAGGAGGACCGATGGGGTTAGACGTAGAGTTTATAAAACCACGATAAAGTTTGACGCAATTTTAAAAGTATGGAGGATTTCGTGCAATTTCGTGAGACCACAAGTGGATTTTGTACAATTTAACCTAAAAAAATAAGTTTATACACATTTTTTTAATTGCTCTTCTCGTTCTATATTTTTCTTTATTTTTTCCTCTTTTTCAACCTTTTCTTTGATTGTCGCCGTTGCCGTCGATTTTAGCCCGCTAAAATGTCATTCTTATCATCATCCTTTTTCATAGGAGACAAGTAAAGTTTAAAAATGTTAAAAAAGACACGGATCATCAACCTTGTTTTTGTCCAGCCCCATCAAACAAAATGATTTATATATAAAGTGTGTATATATATGTGGTATCTATATACATTATATATTTATAAATCGAATATATATACATTTTGTATATACATAGTATATTTGATGGGGCTGAGTAGGACTGACAAACCTTTTCTTTTATTTATGCGCTTCCGCACACAGAGTAAAACTCCG